AAATTAGATCTTAAGGGCAGTATGAAAAAATGGTACAAAATGGATTTGTACTGGGGCAAAAAGGAAGAAAGGGATGATTATATTGTGTAAGATGAATGGGGTGGGGGTGTGTGTGGGGGGGTGTACTTAATTTTAGGACTATCCCCCCATCCCCACAGGAGGTTTCTATGAGCAAAAGTGGGTATATATTTTTGCATTCAGGATAGAAAGATTTATATAATTGTAAGAGGGTAGATTATTGATCTAGGACAAGCCTTTTAAACTGAGTTCCTCATTCTATCTTTGAGAAAAATGAGACCTGAGGAAGTTGGATGATTTTCTTAAGGTCACACAAGTACTCAATATCAAAGGCAAGATTTGAACCCAGTCCCTCTAACTATAGAATCAGTTTCTTCTTCCCTGTATCATGCTGGAGGTCATGTTGGAATAAAAAAACAGGGATCAAGGAGTAGCTAGGTGGCACAGTGGATAGAGCTCCAGCCCTGGAGTCAGGAGGAACTGAGTTCAAATCCAGCCTCAGACACTTGACACTTAAACTAGCTGTGTGACCCTGGACAAGTCATTTAACTCTGATTGCCTAAGCAAAAAAAAAGAAAAAAGAAAGAAAAAAACAGGGGTCAAGAGCCCATGTGTTTGTGGGAGGCACCTAACAGTAGAGGAATTAGGCCTGGAAGGTGAATTGCTCTGTGTGTGGGCCACAAATTAAGCAGGGTGGTACAGTAGCCAGAGAATTAGGTTTGGAATCAGAAGACCAGGTTTCAAATCTCAGTTTGGCCACTCAGTATGTAACATTAGGGAAGACACAATCTCTCTGGAACTTAGTTTCTTCATTTGTAAAATGAGAGTTTTGAGCTAAATGACCTTTAAAGCCCGTTCCAGATAATCCAATGATTTTATGAAGCCACAATAAAGCCAGAACAAAAACTTACACCATAAAATGTCTTTTCTCAATCTACAGTGAACTACAGGAATAGACAATAATGACCATTATGATATGCTCCCCTTTAACACATCAGCCTGAAGATAATACTCATCGATTAGGTTGCTTGATTTCATGTTAGAACTTCCAGATATAAGTTCAGAAACATGAATTTAGGAGACAGTAAAGATAAAGCAGAGAATCCTATCCCCAGAAAATGGACAGTGTGCCAGGGTCGCCTTGGCGAGAGGCCTGGACTCCTCGGCAACTTTCCTGTTGCCAAGATGTCGATTCATTTGTCCTTGAAGGTCTCTGTTGCATAGTTCATGTAGCAAGTGATTGCCAGCGACACTCCCCATCATGGTGGCTTAGTACAGAAGCCAGAAGCAAATGCAAGTCATTATTTCAGTCTTTAAAATAAGCACCATCTCAAATCAGTCACTATTCTATACTGTGTTAACTTCGGCACCCTAGCTAGACCATAAGCTCCTTGAAGGCAAGGACTCTATTTTTATACTTTTTCTTTACCCTCTACAACTACTATCACACTTGGTCAGTTTCTTGAATGAAAGAGCAAAAGTATAAAATAGGCAATATATAATGTAAATTGAAAACTTAAAAAAAAAATTCTCTTCAACCTAATCTAGTTTCAACTCCAGTTTAGAATGTGAAACTTTGTCTACATTTCTAGAACTCTATCAAAATATCAGTTTCAAAGATTCACAGAATTTCATGTTGGTAGGGACCTCAGTGGTCAAATCCAACCTATACCCATTTTACCTAGGTCTAGAAAATATCCCTAAAGTAGGACACTAGCTAACTAAACACTTACAGAAGACCTGTCAATGTAGTTAGTGATAGGACCTACAAAATAGCTGTAGAGATGAGAATCCTTAAGCTTCAACCACACACACACACACACACACACACACACTAACAAATGAACAGAAACAATTCACACCCAAAGAGCATTTTAAACTTTGCAAAGCATGATAAGAAATGAGTAATGGAATGAGAGATCTGGCCAAAAACTGGATATTTTTTTAGGATCTAAAAATGAAAGAATAATTTAAGGAATGATGATTTGCAGGAATTACTGTTTACTCATGATTCCACAGGAAAATGACTTCATTCAATTCAACAAAGCAAATATTTCCCAGGATGTATTAAGGGGATATTCTCTAGGGACATAAGGAGATAGTAGAAGCACCCAATGATGTCTTTGTACGGGTATATGTAACCACTCAGAGGCTGGTAGGCAGCTGCAGTAGGTAGAAAGCTGGGCCTGGAGTCAGGAAGACCTGAGTTCAAATCCAGCCTCAGACACTTCCTAGCTGTGTGACCATGGGCAAGTCACCTAACCTCTGTTTGCCTCAATCTACTAGAGAAGGAAATGGCAAACCACTCCAGAACCTTTGTCAAGAAAACCCAAAGGGCATTATTGGCATGCTATGGTCCACGGGGTCATGATGAGTTGAACATGACTGAACAACAACAAATTAACCACACACGCTTATCATCCACTGAGTGGTGAACAGGAACAATGAACATGGAGAACTGGTAAGAGAGAAATAGCACTGAGAAAGGAGGAAAGAGCAATTATCATAATACTGTGAAAAAAAACCAAACATCTCACTGCCCATGAAAATTATGCAATTAATAAACTGGGAAGAAATGGTTTTCCTCCTATTAGCAAATCAGAGAGACGATTTGAACCTACATTTAGTTTGAATTAGTACGCGTTAATACAATCACAAATCTAGAGTTGGGGGGCTCCTAATCCAAACCCCTTTGCTCAAAAGATAAAACTGAGGCCCAGAAGTCAAGGGACTTATCCAAGATCAAGCAGTCAAGAGAGGAACTAGAATTTTAATCCAGTTCCTCTTCCTGTGAATTTTTTTTTAAATCTAAATTAGTAGGAATTATTGTAATATATTTAAACATTTTAAGTTCTGTTGCTTTTGTTTTCCCATTACAAACACGTACAGATCACTCCTACTTCATGAGATCTCCTGTAACAAAGTAAAATAGGACAGTGACCTCATCTGAATGCAATAAACATTCCGCATCTGTAGTTCTACCTTTTTATCTCTTTTTTTTAAATGAACAGAAATCTATTTTTTCACCTTCCCACTCCATAAAAAAAAAATTATTGTAACAAATACACAGAGTCTAGTAAAACACATTGCTTCAGTAGCAACAGACACAAATGTGTGTCTCATTTGGAACCCTAAATCCATTATCTTTCTGTAATGGATAGCATATTTCCTCTTCAGGGCTCTGGAATTATGAAGTCACTGTATTGATCATAATTCTTACAACTTCCAAAATTTTACAGTGTTGTGGTTTTTGTATAAATTGTTCTCCTGATTCTGTGCAGCTTATAAAAGTCCTCAAAATTTTGGTTCTCTGCTTATGTCATTATTTTCAAAAGCCTATTAGAGGAAAGAAAGTAGGAAGGGCAGAGAAGACAAAGAAAGACAAAGATGAAGAAGAGTGATTGTATGTTGTTATTCAGTCCTGCCTGACTCTTCATGATCCCATTTGGGATTTTTCTTGGCAGAGATACTGGAGCGGTTTGCCACTTCCTTCTCCAGCTCTTTTTATAGATGAGGAAACTGAGGCGGACAGGATTAAGTGACTTGCCCAGGATCACCCAGCTAATAAGTGTCTGAGGCTGGATTTGAACTCAGGAAGATGAGTTTTCCTGACTTTAGACCTAGTGCTTTACCCATTTATTTGAACTCAAGTCTTCCTGACTCCAGGCCCAGAGTTCTACCCACCAAGTTGCCTACCTGCCCTTATGCGTGGGTTTACTGGCTCCAACTTCTGTTTGGGTTTGGCACTAATGAAATCTAAGAATAATAATAATAACAATAATAACAATATAACTGACATGGAGCTATCCTGTCTATACCATCTTTGTACCTAGTTGTTTGCATGTTGTCTCTCCCATTAGACTGTTAGCCCTTTGAGGACAGGCCTTTTTCTGTATCTCTAGGGTTTAGCAGTGGTCTGCACATAGTTAAAACTTAATAAAGCTTGTTGACTTAACTTTACTTGGTTAGACATCATATAGTCCAATTATCTCATTTTCTTGATGAAGGAGCCTTTTCCTGAGTAGATCTGGGTGAATCCTCCCTGCTACCAACCAAATGGAAAGATGCTTCCTGGTGTTCGTCTCATTTAAGGAAGGCAGATCCACTTCATTTATATGCGGCATGAAGTTAAGTCCAGAAGTACTTGTTGACTTGATAATAATGTTTCACCTAAATATGTGAGCCTCACAGCAACCCTATGAGTTAAGTATCAGAGATATTATTATCCCCATTTTACAGATGAGAAAGCTGAGGACCAAGAAGGATAAGCAATTTGTCCATGTCAGAATTGGGATTTGAATCCACATCTTCCTGTCTCTGGGGGCAGCTAGGTGGCACAGTGGAGAGAGTGGAGTGAGGAAGACTCGATTTCAAATCCAGCCTCAGACACTTACTAGCTGTGTGACCCTGGGCAAGTCACTCAACCCTGTTTGCCTCAGTTTCCTCATCTGTAAAATGAGCTGGAGGAGGAAATGGCATTATCTTTGCCAAGAAAACCCCAAATGGGGTCACAAAGAGTCGGATATGACTTAAACACACCTGAACAACAATAACTTTCCTGACTCTAAGTGCAGCACAGTAGTAAAGTGACAATAAGGGCCCATCTAAAGAGACGATGAGGAATAATATCTCAATGCAACCCTCCCCATGCATGGCATCTGAAGGACTGTGGATGAGAAGAAGAGGCAAGAGAAGGGCAGCCTCCAGGGAACAAGCACAGGAATGGTTAGGTAGCAGTGAGGAACTGACGAGATTTGACTCACTAATCACCTCCCATCTCAGTTGTTGGCAACGCCATCAACAAACTCCTTGGTATTTCCTGACGATGCCCTCACTTACTTCCACTCACTCTGGAAGGAAGTGATTAATCTCCCTTTTTATTTTCCCAACCAGCTAGCATTCCCTCCAATTCATCTAAGAAAAATGTCCCCCATTTTAAAAATGTATTCTTTTCTTTTTTTCCAAAGGTATTCTTTCCTCACCAATGTTGTAATCTCTTTCACATCATCGGTCACAGGATTCCCGCAGATCCCTTTGGTTTTGACGAGAGGGTTGAATAGGAGCAGCTGAAGATAAATGCAAGTGATAATCCAAGT